GATTCTGAATAAGATTTCCCTTTGCAAAAATAGGGTTTGAAGCTTTGTTTTTGAATTATTAAGCAAAAACACGGACCAATCAAAGCGCGAGAGTTACGCATGCGCAGACGCGAGATGCGACAACTTCGAGTCTAGTGGCTGAGCGCGCGTAATCCTCGCGTTCTGATTGGTCCGTGTTTTTGCTTAATAATTCAAAAACAAAGCTTCAAACCCTATTTTTGCAAAGGGAAATCTTATTCAGAATCGCGTCAGCTATCCCCCACTTCCGAGACCTACACTAATTGTGAGACACCCTGTAGAATTCTATCGGTACAAGCAGGGTTAAACTCTACCTTCCAATTATTATCGTAGGTGTTAAATTTGCTCTCATTGACAAACATTATTACTTGGTTACTTAAAGTATACGTGCATATTTAGTTATTATACTTTTACATATTTCATTATTTTTCTTTTATTTACTGCATTTACCCATAGTTGTTTTTGAACTATTCACTCGCTGTGGGCGTTCAATGTTAACAATTTTTGTACCCTTCTGAATGTACTGCAATTTCCAGATCTTTAGTTAATATTAATACTAAATTTAGAACTTAGTTGTAAATTTTTAATTTATTTATTTACAAGACAACTATCACTAAATATGCTAAAAAGCAAGAAACAATTCTGTCTGGAATTAATGCAATTTCTACTTTTGTATCGCTTTACAGTGTCAATATTGTTTTGTCAATTTATAGATATATGATGCCATCTTGGATCAAGATCCTTTTTTAATTAATTTATTTTGAATACGTAGCGTAGAAAATAATACAAATCAACGACTACTAAAAATATAAAAAATAGTCTAGATTGCTGTTGACACGAAATATCGTTATAGACATTTGTCAAACTTCTTTTTAATAAAATTCGTCTTAATTAGTTTATGGTACAAAAATTCTGATATGAAAAATGCATAAGTATTTTCGACGATGTTTTTAACAGTTCGAACGATTGAAAAATAATAAAATAGTAAAATAATTATTAATAAAGTAATACAAAATAAAATAAATAGCACCGTGACTCAATTACATTGCCTATGGTTTGCAGCAAATAAAGTAGTTGAATGGATCCGTTCCTACAGAGAAGTAAGTTTTAACACATTTAATATATTGTGAACACAGTTGTAAATCACAAAACACGATGTATGATATATCGGTATTGGTTTAGGCTATATTTTATTTTCGGGCCGCTGTGAAACATGTACTTTGTATCATTCATGGCTGTGAATTTCGGTTTTTGTAGGATCCTTAGTGATTCGTGCTGGAATAAATGAAAATTGATGAACTGTTTTAAACAATTTGGAAGAAGATTAATCATACGTCATACGACAAATTAATTCAAATAAATAAAATTTGCGGTATCATTAAGAAGAACACGTATTTTATCATAACATAACATAAATAATATGTTAATTTAATTATGTACACTTTTACGGAGTAGTAATTGATGGAATACTGTAATGTTCGATCATTAATAAAAGTTGCTGTATTTGATCAAGAATTAATATATTTTATATAGGTACGTAAACATTTTTAAGAACAATTTTCATTGTCAAATAAATCATCCTGCAATATCGCTTATTACGGGTAATACCGTAATGTAATTAGGTTATAAAATGCAACTGTACTTATTTTTAAAATTGAAAGCAATGATTATTTTTTATAAATTAATCAGTTAGGTGTGTTTGATGACTATATCCGTCA